AAATCTGAATCTCACCAGAAATCAGGTGAAATCTTATTGTGATATTGTACTGTAGGTAGGCAAGTTTCCAATTAGGGAAACTGGGTAAAGGATATAAGGTATCTCTGTTATTTCTTACAACTGCATGTGAATCTACAATTAGCTAAAAATTATTTTTATGAGCAAAAGAAATGAATATCTTCATAAAAGGAGATAATGGATAGCATATAGGCACATGAAAAGATGCTCAATATCTTTGTCATTAGGAAAATACAAATTAATACCACAGTGAGACACCACAACTTATCTTTTGGAATGGCTTTTAGCTTTTATTAGCCATTCTCTTGGACAAGCATACAACTGTTAGAGAAGACATGGAGGGAAAATGAATGGAATGGGATACTGATGGGAATGTAAAATGATGCAACAACTGTGGAAAAGAGTTTAGCAGTGTCTTTTCTTTTCTTTTTTTGGCTGCAAGACTTGCGGGATCTTAGTTCCTGGACTGGGGACTGAACTCATGCCCTCAGCAGTAAAACTGCGGAGTCCTAATCACTGGACTGCCAAGGAATTCCCAGTAGTTTCTTAAGAAGTTAAATAAATATCTTCTATGTAACCCAGTCATTTCACTACTAAGTGTCTACCTAGAAGAAATGAAAACATCGATTCATAGAAATACATGTATATAAGAGTTCATTGCCACTTTATTTGTACTAACTGAAAACCGAAAACTGTAAACCCTGGTGGTCCAGTGGTTAAGAATCCGCCTTGCAATGCAGGGAACACAAGTTGGATCCCTGGTTGGAGAACTAAGATCCTACATGCCTCAGAGCAACAAGGCCAGCAGCTCTCGGCAAGGACTGAGCCCTTGCACAACTAGAGTCCACAACCACACTGATACAACAAAAATCCATTGAAGATTCCCGCCTGCCGCAACTATACTAGAAGCAGCCAAACCCAAAAAACTGTAAACAACTCAAATGCTCATCAACAGGGGAGCATTTGGTATATCCACAGCCTACTTACTACTCAGCAATAGGAAGGAATAAACATTCTCAAAATAATTATGCCAAGTTAAAGAAACTATGCTGAGTGAAACAGATCACCAGCCCAGGTTGGATGCATGAGAAAAGTGCTCGGACCTGGTGCACTGGGAAGACCCAGAGGGATCGGGTGGAGAGGGAGGTGGGAGGGGGGATCAGGATGGGGAATACATGTATATCCATGGCTGATTCATGTCAATGTATGACAAAAACCACTACAATATAAAAAAAAAAAAGAAACTATGCTGAAAACACTTTAATTAGGGTATATACTGTGTACATTATATACTGTACTTGGGTATATAAAATTCTAGAAAATGCAAACTGATCTATAGAGTGCTTGGGCACTGGGTGGAAGAGGCAGGAGGGAGGGATTTCAAGCGGCAGATTAAAACTTTTAGGGGTGATGAAGCATATAATTTTCCTAAACGTGGTGATGATGCATGGGTTTATGTATATGTCAGACCTTATCAGACTGGACACTTTAAATATTTGCAGTTTGTGTATGTCAGTTATACTTCAACAACACTGTTTTAGGGAATTCCTTAAAGGTCCAGTGGTCAAGACTTGCGCTCTCACTGCCAAGGGCCCAGGATCAAGCCCTGGTTGGGGAACTAAGATCCCACAAACCGAGTGCTACACCACAAACAAACAACAAGCAAAAAACATTGTTTGTTTGTTTGTTTTCCTCAAAAAAGGATGAAATATCTCTGTGAAGATTACAGTGAAATTTTGATTTCATATTGCTTCCCTTCCCTTCTCAGGTAATCTTAATAATTTAGTGTCTACCCTAGTATTCTTTTTTTAACTTTCTTATATTTTTTTTTATTGACGTGGAGTTTAAATACAATGAAATGGACAAAAGTATATAACTTAAAGTATTTTGACTAACTCATACACTGTGTAACCTGTAACACATACACTGTGTAACACCTGTAACCTGCATGACCAGGGACCATTTCTATTCCTCTAGAAAGAGTCCCTAAATTCCTGGCAACTCTCACTCTCCACTCCCAGAGGCAACCACCATTCGGATTTCTTTCCTCTAGATTAATTGTGCCTATTCTATTCTTCATGTAAAAGAAATCACACAATGTTGTGTTTGCATTTTTTTTCTATAGCATAATCTTCTCTTTTGTTTTAAATTCATTTCCAGATCCACATGTAATTGGGATCAGTAAGAGGTCCTACCTTGAGCCCCGGTCTAAAAATTGCTTTCTCCACCAACAGTAGGATCTAGAAATGTCTCAGAGCCATGCTTCCCACCTGCTGCACAGCCAGGTCACTGCCTTGATTCCTCATTCATAATTTATATCATGTTGATGGACATTTGCATTGTTTCAACTTCCCCCCTTGCAAGTAGCACATCAGTGAAACATGTTGAACAGATATCCTTTGTGCCCCTGTGTGTAGGTTCCTCTGGAATTGATTCCAGCAAGTGGAATTGCTGGATCAATTAATAAACAATAGGTAATGAATAAATATTTTAATTTCCTCTGGTTGGTCCTTCCAATTCTTTAGCAATTCTTTTGCACAGCAAAATGTTCTCTCCAATCATTAGAGGGGGTTCCAGGTGGCACAGTGATAAAGAATCTGCCTGCCAATGCAGGAGACACAGTTAGATCCCTGGGTCGGGAAGATGCCCTGGAGTAGGAAATGGCAACCTGGTCCAGTATTCTTGCCCAGAAAACCCCACGGACAGAGGAGCCTGGTGGGCTACAGCCCATGGGGTCACAAACAGTTGGCTAGGACTGAATCACTGAGCACACACACACAAACAAGACCTAGGGAGTTGGGAGAGTTTGGTGGTGGTGGTAGGGTGTTAAGGGGGTGGATGGAGGAGTCCAGTTAATTAATTAGTGATCTCTCTCCTTTGAAGCTGGTCTCAGGGATCAGTTTTCCTGCTTTCCAGATGTGGAGGCAGGGGGCCTGTTTATCGGCCCCTCCCCCCAAACAGTGGGAAAAGGAAACTTGCTGATACTTAGTGAATTAATTGCAGGGGGAAAAGGTGCCATAACATCATCCTCTCCTTCGTGAGCACAGAATTTTAGCCTGACTAACGCTGTGTGACTTAGGCGGGCTATTCTAAGCCTCAGTTTCTCCTCTTCTAGCCTACTCAGGGTTCTTGAGGCCGACAGCCTACCCTGGCAGGAAAGTACTGCATGGCGATCAAGTGCCCTTATTATCATAATGCGGCCATTACAACTCAGGCTCCTGGAAAGCTTTTTGAGCATCAGTTTCCTTCTTTGTATAAAGAAACCAAAGGTGTTTCTGGTGGCTCAGCCATAAAGAATCCGTCTGCCATGCAGGAGACCCCCAGTTCCATCCCTGGATGGGGAAGATCCCCTGGAGAAGGAAATGGCAATCCTCTCCAGTATTCTTGCCTGAGAAACCCCATGGGCAGAGGAGCCTGGCGGGCTACAGCTCATGGGGTCACAAAGAATCCGACACGACTTAGCAACAACAACATAAAGATGCCGGGATCGGGTAAGGTTGATAAAGCAAACTCTTCACATAGTGCCTGGCTGGAAAGGAATATTATTCTTACGAACGGAATAATTCATCACCTTTATCATTACCGAAATACCAGGCAGACGTTAGGGCTCAGAGAGAGCCCGACAGCGTTACTCAGCTAAATTCACCCAGCAGCAACGTTGGAATCCGAAGTCTTTCCCCAGGCGGGAGCGGGGAACTAGAGAGGTGGGGAGGGGGGCGGTGAAGAAACCTCTCAAGCGGCCCGCGCTGTGGGCCTGGTGGAGAGATTCCCAGGTGTGGGGCCGGGAGGTAAGGTGACCCTTGCTCAGCGACCGCGCCCGCGAGGAGCGCATTCCCAGGCTTTCCACCCGAGGTCTGCAGGTGACTGGCCGGGCTGGGGGTAGCTAGGGAGAGCTGAGGCCCGGTTTGCCGTCTCCATGGCAACCGCCCTCACGGCGCCAGCCTGACAGCCCGTCCGGGTTTTATGAATGGGTGACGTCACGGGCCTGGCGTCTAACGGTCTGAGCAGCTTGTTCAGACGCTGACACAGAGCAGCCCTGGGAGTGGGGGGTTGGGGGAGGGTGGGAGGGGGACGACGAGAGCTCCGCAGCTGCCGCGCCGTGGGAGGGAGACCCTGATCCCAGCAGTCTTTGGGGGGAAAAAAGCCAAAAAGGGAGAAAAAAAAATTTAATTACTTAATGAAGCAGATTTGGGGCTGCAAATTCAGGGGAGAAATCAGGGAAGACAGCCCGCTCTGGGTGCCTTTTTCTTGCTCAGGTCCCAGGGGCCCAAGCCCCCAGTCGTGGAGGAAGATTTTCCAGAATTAGTTGCTCCCATCCTGAGGGGCCTGGGTAAGACTGCCCGGTCTCAGGAACAGTGACCAGCAGCGTTCTCTGGGAATTGGGAAAGGAGAACGCCCCCCCACCCGGGGGTGGGGGGGGCAGCTTTAATATCAGCTTTAAATATCAGCTCAAATATTGGGAAGATCAGAGTCCCAGAAGTAATCTTCCAGTAGGGTCCAGAAGCCCACGCTGCTTCTCCATCGGAACCTCAGTTTCCCTCATCTGTAAAATGGGACTGGAGAAATGAGAACATATCCCTGAGAAAACTGACTCTTGGAATCTTTTCGTGATAGTAATAACCGGTTTCGCCTTCTGGGCAGCCCTCGGCTCCACTAGCCATCTTGTCCCCCGCCTCCCACTCTCTCTTGTCTTGCGACTCGAGTCGCTTTTCCACGCGGGTGAGGGTGCTCTAGGAGAGCAGGAGGCGGGACCCAGAAGCCCTCCAGGCCACGCCCCTATGGCTTCCATTGGCTGTTTTTGAACATCTGAGCCCGCCCCCCAAGGAAGGGGCGGGGAGGCGCGCAGCATCTTTATAAAAGTCGGGTAGGGGTACTTGAGTAGCGCTTTTGCACTGCCGTCTTTCTTGGGTTCGCAACTTTTTCCCCACTCCCGGCGTCCTCTTCCTCCTCCGTCCGCTTCGTTTTCTCCCGACGCCGGTATCATGAAGGTCGCCAGTGGCAGCGCCGCGGCCGCCGCGGGCCCCAGCTGCGCCCTGAAGGCCGGCAAGGCGGCGGGCGGGGCGGGCGAGGTGGTGCGCTGCCTGTCCGAGCAGAGCGTGGCCATCTCGCGCTGCGCGGGCGGCCCCGGGACGCGCCTGCCGGCCCTGCTGGAGGAGCAGCCGGTGAACGTGCTACTGTACGATATGAACGGCTGCTACTCGCGCCTCAAGGAGCTGGTGCCCACCCTGCCCCAGAACCGCAAGGTGAGCAGGGTGGAGATTCTCCAGCACGTCATCGACTACATCTGGGATCTGGAATTGGAGCTCAACTCGGAATCCCACGTCGGGACCCCCGGGGGCCGGGGGCTCCCCGCCCGGGCTCCGCTCAGCACTCTCAACGGCGAAATCGGCGCCCTGGCGGCAGAGGTGAGGTCTGAGTTGGAGTAATCACTTTTCTTTTACGGAAGGGGACACTTGAGGCTCAGAGCGGGAGGGGGTGCTTGACCCTGTATTCGCCCCGTCCTTCCGAGCACCTAGGTGCTCAAGGATGCCCAAGTAGATGGTTAAAAAACAACTCTTGTCTCTTTTCACAGGCGGCGTGTGTTCCAGCGGACGATCGCATCTTGTGTCGCTGAAGCGCCGCCCTTGGGAGCCGGCAGACCCCAGCCCCCCAGGGGGCGAGAGGAATAAGTGTTTCTGGTCCTTCCAGGCGCCTCGCCGGAGCTGGGGAGGAACAAGACCGATCGGCGGCCACCGGGGCGCTTGCAGGATCCAACCCGGGTCTGGGGGACTGACAGGGCAGGCTGACCCTCCCTCCTCACCCACCAGCCACCAGAGACTTGGGGGAGTCTCCCCTCGTGTGTTTCTATTTTTTGAAAAGCGGACATTTAAAAAATGGTCACGTTTGGTGCTTCTCAGATTTCTGAGGAAATTAATTGCTTTGTATTGTATATTACAATGATCACCGACTGAGAATATTGTTTTACAATAGTTCTGTGGGGTGTTTTCTTTTTTGGTTGTTGTTATTAAACAAATACTTTAGATGATGATAAAGCTTCAGTGACTTCTTGGATTGTTGGGAGGGACCTGGGCTGGCGGTGACCCCTGACCCTTTTCACAGCTGCTGCTGGGGGAGGGGACGGGAAGGCCACATCTGGACCGCCGCTTTTACCGACCTGAAATGAGTGTTTCCGGTGTCTTTAAAATCTATTCTTCCCCCCCACCCCGCCCCATCCCTGGCCATTTCCCCGCTCCCCAGTGTCATAAAATTAAATCCTTCAGACTTTTAGGGTTTCTCAAAGTGGTCATGGGGCCATCTGGGTCACCTGGGGAGGTTGTTAAATGCAGATCAACCTGCCAAGGCCCCCTCTGGGTTGAAGAGTATCAACAAGCCGGTTATTTGGGAGAACCGGGTCACTGGACCTGCATGTTGGCTTAAATGGGGGTAGTGAGAACCTCAGCTTGTCAGGGGCAAGACTTCCAAGTTGCCCCATTACCCAGGAGGAGGCGCCTCCCCCCTGGGCCACCAAACCCTGGATCCCAGCAGGCTGCCCCGGGGCTTCAGCTTTGTCCAAGTGGGTGAGCAAGTTGGCAGGACCAGACCAGTCACAGCTGCTGGGCCACCTGCTCTTGGGTCTGGACTCTGCCCCCTCACCCTGGCCAGGCTGTGCCAGCAGCCCAGGGCTCCTGTGTGGGCAATGAGGAGGAGTGGGCGAGTAAGTCCACAGCTCCTGAGCTGGAAAATGGTGTCCTTGGCAAGGACCTATCTGCCTGGACCTGTGTGTGGGTTTGTACTCATGGGGGAGTGCACATGAGTGTCTGGGCCTGTGTGACATGAGTGAACTGGTAGTTACCTTGAGGGGCTGGGTCATCTGTTGGTGTGCAGGCCTGGGGGTGTGGATGAAGATACACGTGGGGATGTGTGCAGAAGGGCAAATGTGAGCGCATGTGTTCTGCAGATAAGTGAGCCAACTCCAGCTGTTTGGGCTTGTGGGCTCTGCTGAAATGCATGGTGGCACCTCTGCCTGGATCTGGCTTGATGGTTGGGTGTGAGTGTCTGGGGACTACAGAACTGCACTGGGTGTCTAGATGTGTTCTGTAGACTGGCTGGCATTCCTGGGTCTCTGCTGATCTGGGGATAGCGGTGAGGGGTAGGTAGCTTTTCATAGGCAAACCCTTCCTCAGAAGTTTAAGTACCAACTTTCTGGGCAATTGTTAGACCCCTGGGGACACCAACAGTCAGTACCCCTACCAGGCAGCTGCCAGGTATTACACAGGGAGAAACAGCCCCAGAAAGGGCAAAGAACTTGTCCCAGAGAGGGCAAGGACTGTTAATATATTTTGTCAATAAAATAAATAGTACCTAGCACCATGAGCCTGACTCTACTCTCAGCCGTTTACATAAAGGATTTTGTGGATCCTTGTGGAGCTAACAGCAGGATTGCGAATAACAATAACAATGAAGACTGCCTATTGAGCACTAAGCCAGGTACCACCTCCTCCCCGAGCATATTCTAGACTTTTATCAAAGGGAACAGTATTTGGAGGTAAATCGGGTGCCTTCCTACTCCCCACCCAGCTCACTACGGGCTGCTGTTTGACAGCATCAACTTCCCAGAACTGCTGTAGAGAATAAATGAAATAGAGCACTTAGCACGCGGTGTTTGATAGCTGTAAATTATTATTAATTGTCGCCTGTACGTCCTTGGAGTGTCCTCAGAGTCACACGTGTGCACTCCCTCCCTCGCGCCCCCCTCCCAGCCGCCCACCCACCGGGCCGTGGGCGTGTCCCCGCGCGTACCCCCTCGCGGCAGGGCCCTTTTCCAGGGGAGGAAGGGGCTGTGCCGAGCTGGGGGTAGGCGGGCCACCTCCTCCCCTGTGCAGACACACTCTGGCTTCCACGTTTCCCTCTTTTCCCCTTTGGCCCAGGCCCAGCCCATCTGGAGGCCGGCTCGGCGGCGGCCTGGGAGCGTTTCCATCAGCTGGGCCCGAGGAATGCGGAGCTATTTAACCTGAGCATCCCCAGGTGTACGGAGGCGCCTGGCTGTCTGGGGCCCGCCGCCTTTGGCACGGCCGCGCTAGACAAACAGCGAGCCGCCCCCGCCCTGCCCCTCCGCCCGCAGCTGCAGCCGGGCCTGGGAACGGGCGGGCGCCGGCGGCTTGCATAAGAGGCTCGGGCCCCGCGCAGGGAGGGGGCGAGGGGGGGACGGGGCCGCCGCGGGGTGGGGGGTTGTGAGAGCTAGAGGGTGTGTGCACGTGTGTGCGTGCGTGTGTGCTGCACACAAGACCCTGCTCCTTTTGGGCCGCCGCTTGGGAAATCATTAACTCCTTAACTGTGTTGGACAGGGCGCGGCAGGAGCTGGGTGGGGGGAAGGCCGCAGAGAAAAACCGGGACAAAGTTCCTTGCACATTGGACCTTGCCTCTCCAAGACTGTGGGCCCCAAGACCTAAAGGATATATATTTTTTTTCTTTAACAGACACTTCTAGAGCGCTTATTATGTGCCGGGTACTATACTAAACTCTTAAAATTAATTTGGTTAATCCTACTCACAGCTGTATGGGGGCAGTGCTGTCATATACTCATTTTAATAATAGCAATGACAGCAGCACAATAGTAATGGGAAGATAAACGTTTTAGTAGGTAGGCTGGTAGAACACAGCCTCTGAAGCAGCCTGGAGGCTTCCCAGGCTGGGAAGGAGAAGGCTGGGAAAGGAGGCCCTTCCCTGGAGGCTTTGCCTGTCTTAGCCTCCACTTTCTCATCTGGTAAATGGGCTCCAGAACCTCAGCCTCAGGGATCCATTGAAGGGCTGCAGATGGAAAACTTGGCACTAGGACTGGCTCCATGTAGACCCTAGGTTACGTGTTGGTGTAAAGCCCTTACCAAGGGGATTGACTCATGAGCCCGTTAGGTGTGTAAACCCACTGCTAGTCCTACTTTTCAGATGAGAAAAGGGAGACCTTGGAGAGGTGAAGTGACCCACACAAGGCCACGTGGGATTCTGACTTAAACTTTCTGGAAACTTCGCTTCTGAGGGGCTGCACTTTTCCCACAAGAGGTTCAGTCTAGCTTTTTCGTCTTATTTCCAATTTAAATCACACCGGGTCATTACGTATGCTTGTTTTAAATGCGTAAACTGGAAAAATGCAAGGCATAATATTTATCCCAATTTTTGCAACTTAGGTTTTTCTTAATTTAAAAAAATCTTAACAAGAGCCTAGAAAAATAGAACTCACCCAGGCTCTCTTGTCCTGTAAGAGGTCCTAGGCCAGGTTCCATGTGACCTGGCTCTGAGAGGACAGGTGGCACAGCGGGGTACAGGTCTTGAACCCGGTAGAGACCAACCGAACTGTGGACACATCTGCTTGAGGGATGCCTGGTGACTGAGGCTCTGACCTCTGGGTACACACGCCCCTCTCCACAAGGGTCAAGGGGGTTTTGTGGGCAAACACCAACCTTATACCTCCCAATCTGAGTCACCTAGACCTCAGAGTGCTCCTGGAGCCCCTTTCGCCCACCTCATTGCCTCCTGAGACTAAGACTCAAGGGTGAAACCTTTCTTCATACCAGCTACTCTTATTGAGACCCAGGGACTGCGCCCAGGGAGGGCTCCCCACTGTCCAGGTCACAGGCTGCAAGGCTTTCCAATGACAGGCAGGCCTGGGAGCCCAGCCTGGCTGCCAGAGGGAAAGGAGGTGAGTCATGGCCCAGCCAGGGTCCAGGCTCTGCTTTCCGGGAAAGGGAAGGGAAGGGAAGAGAGGAAATCAAAAGGCCTGGAGGCACACAAGGGGGTGGGCCGTTCTTATCTTCCCGGGACCCACCCTGGCTGGTGCTTCCTGACCCAACTCTTGCAAAATTGGTTTCCCAGCGATGCCCCCAAGAGAGGCGCCATGGGCCTTACTGGGTTGCATCAGAGCCTTGTGCAAGTGCTAGCTGATGGGGAGGGCGGTGGCTGCAGGCCAAGAGCAGGCAAGGGAAGGCAGACTCAGATTCTAGGCCCAGTGCCACATCTCACTTACACTTGCCACCTCCCTGGACCTCAGCATCCTTACCTTTAAAATGGGTTGTCACAGCCACTGTTCTGAGGTTTCAGTGACATCATCCTTGGCCCATCCACTCTTCAAGCCCCACCCAGGCCAGGCCTCGGTCATCCCTACCTGGAAAACTGTACCAGCCCCAACTGGTTCATTCAGCAAACACAGTTGGCTCTTGAACAACATGGGTTTGAACTGCACTAGGGTTCACTTATAAGTGGATGTTTTTCAATATTAAATACTATAGGACTGGGTTTCCCAGGTGGCGCTAGTGGTAAAGAATCTGCCTGCAGGAGAGGAAAGTTTGATCCCTGGGTCGGGAAGATCCCCTGGAGGAGAGCATGGCAACCCACTCCAATATTCTTGCCTGAGAAATTCCATGGACAGAGGAGCCTGGCGGGCTACAGTGCATGGGGTCGCGAAGAGTCGGACCCAACTGAGCACACACACACATAGGACCACACAGATGTGGGGTTGGCTGAAACCACTGATGCAGAAGCATGGATACAGAACCCAGGATAAGATGACCTGACTATAAATTTTATGTAAGTTTTCACTGCATAGGGTTGGTGTCCCTAACCCATGTATTGTTCAAAGGGTCA